AATTAAATGTTTTGAAGTGTACACTTTTCTTGGCATTTAGTTTGAAGGGTGCAGGAAAAAAACTGAATTTTTTCCCCTTTGCATCATAGCCATATAAACACCTTGAAATTGGCCTCTGTCTCTTTAACAACCTCCTATCATTTCAGACACTCCCACTTCAGCACTTCTTCGCAACAATGCTTCATGCTGTTTACAACCTTTGTAGGAGTGTTGTTTTTTGTTGTAAAAAAAGGAGCAACATTATTTAATACTGGTTTTGGAAAATGACAACTCTGGATATATTTGAACCTCAGTCAAATGATCCCATGTAGGACCCAGAAAGTTAGTTTTCCAAAAAACTGAGTGAGTGCAGAGGCTCTTACAAGATGTTTCAGCTTGGTAACATACAGTATCTCCCAGTCATCTTCACATATGTCAATGTGAAGCTACTTTTTTAGGAGAAACTATAAATATAATCATTTTGAAGCGATGTTTTGCAATGAAATCACGAACATCCAACATTTTACGAAACGTTTTGCTAGTCTGGTGGAGCTGCGTGGGGGAGGTACGGGAGAGGGGTGCTCTGTGGGGCGGGAGCTCGGCTGGGGACTGAGCTTCAGGGAGGAGCTTTGKGTAAATAGGCGGCAGTTTGTATGAACAACGCATTAGGCAGCTCCAAAGGGTTACAGATAATTTAAGGATTTCTCAAACATGTATGCATGAGTCAAAGCAACACTGGGTTTTGATAAGGGAATGACATTAAAATTTTGATTTAGTATAATACCTCCTATTTTCTTTGTCATTTTCAAATAAAAATTCTCCTGGAAAAATCTTTGAATTATCACCAGCTGCCAGAGAAAAAACAAAAATAATGTTTTTTTCCCCATGAAGTAAATGTTCATTTGTTTGTTGCATTAACAAAATATCTCATGAAGCACCAGACAGTGTTTACTGAAACTCTCAGAAGCCAGTTAAAAGTGTTGCTAAAGTTTGATCAAATTTACAAAAATGGAGCTAAAATTCAATGTTGATAGCTGACTGTCATTTACAGCAAGATGCTGATAGTCGATAATATAAGATAATGTAAGATCACATGAAATCACATAAAATTTTAAATGTTTGACCAAATTGTCCAATTTGATAGTTTCAAAATAAAATCATCTTAGTTTAAAACTGTAGCATGGAAGGCTACAGGCACTATATATTCAGTGAAGGTATGCTCCACCTTCATTACATAATTATTTTAACATGTTTACATGTTTTTGTAAAAAAAAAGAAAGTTCTGTAGCTGATAAAAAATATTCTTAAAATAGCTAGAAACTAATATCTCATAATAAAGGGGAAATTTGGAAGTAAAACCAAATAAAACTGTGTTTGAATAGGTTTTTAAAATTTGGTTTAACAAATTCTTTACATCCATAAAGGAGGAGTGACCCTGAGTCTCGGGTCACATGACCCTTGACCCTTAAGCCACATGGCCTTTTGCTTCGTGACCTAATGACATCTCATCCAGCAGACCTTCTGTGTTTGAGCGAAGTGTAATATGTTCTTAATCCACACAACTGATGTTTCAGTTATTTTAAAAGCAGCATTTGAAACATTTTATATTTCCAAAGATGATTATCATTTTTTTTTTTTGCCACATGAGCCCACATGTACAGCGAGACGGACGCTGCTGCTAATCAATACCCCAATAGAGCAATCTAACCCCACATCTGCTCCTCAGTGACAAGACATGCATTATTAACAGAACCAAGTGCTGTCAGGAAACATCTCTGATTCCTATCACCCCCCCCCCCACCACCACCACCAAACACAAATCAACAGTACATACAAAATGACAGAGGAAGCTCTTTCAATGCTGGCATTACAGGTATTAAAGTATCTAATGCGAAGTAGCATCAAGGTAATGATTAAACTTCATTCTTATTATTATTAAGCTCTCATCAATCTCTGTCTTTTACTTTCATTCTGTGCCATTCTGCCATTTGTCACACAAGGAGTCAGAAAAACAAGGACGGCTGAGGGTCAAAGTGGGACTGGAAGGACTAATGACTTGACAGATCTCATTGATTGATGCTGCAAGCTGGGGAAACCATCTCTATTTAAGCTGCAGCCACACTCATGACTGCAGTACATCAGCAGTCGATACCGGAGGGAGTTTGGGCAACTTACTGTCGGCTGAGGCATTGTTACGCTCCCCTGCATCCAAAAGCCCCAAAATCAAACCTTCTTTATCAGATGTTTAGGGTAAAGCCTGCTGATATGAGCCACACATATTGTGCAAACTTAACTATCACAGTCTAGATAGATAAAGAGTAAATT